CAAGTTCCGGTATCCCCATTTACGGAACATGCCATTTTCCCGTGTCCGTTTTCGCATCCGCCGTTTCGTTGTCCGTGTCCGTGCTACATAGGTAGTTGTTTTCAGTAGTAAACATATCGAAAATTTCTACAGAAAATAAAAAGCATTGAAAATTTATAAAAAAATAAACAAATTAATTAAAAAAAATATTTATCGAAAAAAATAACAAAATAAACGAAAAGACAGGAAAAATGATAAATACAGGTCAAAAAATATTGAATGTTGTTAGGCGAAAATTGCATACGAAGACAATATAATCCTTTTATCTCTTGAGGAGTATTCATAATGATGAATTATGATTGGGTTTCTCTACTATAGTAAGGCTTCAAAGGTATGTCAAATGAACACTTACTTTTTTGGACCTACCTCAAATGATCCCAAAAAATTGCACATTAGCGTAATTCGAATTTAGGTATTGATTTTATTTAGCACTTAAACAAGCACAATCAATAAGTTCTAAAATAGCAAACAAAATAAATAGCTTTAACTCATTCAAATCATATATTTATGTAGGATATACCACCACCCATAAGGTAAGGTGCAATTACGGAAAACTCCTATTTTCAAAATTACATCCACCCCCATATTAAGATACATGCGACCCGTTACCAACTTTCACCCGCTGCCATTGGAAAGCCGAAGGCCAACCGCCGTTGCCACCGGAATCCCGAATCCCACAACCACCATACCTACAGTACTAACCCCACTCCACCGCCTACAGGTTACAGCGGTGCCAACGATGGTGGGTGAAAATGAAATATGTCAAAGAAGGGGAATTTTTGAAATCACATATTACCTAAGGTTGTTGGTTGTAATTTTCCCATTTATTTATCCTTCTTAAAACCATCAATATCCGATCTAAAAAGTCAAATCAACCCAATATATATTTTATACATGGGTTAATCTCAAAAAAGTCCATGACAAGGGCACTTAATTATAAAAGGGATATCCAATTTTTTTGTCTTTCAAATATTTCCAGTCCATTCAAACTTATTTGAAAATAAGAAAAAACCTTTTATATTACCAAAATTACCCCAAATTTCTTGAAACCTAATTCAACTCCAATTTTATGATTTACACCCCAATTTAGTCCAATTTCACCAATTAACCAATTTTGACCCCAATTTTTATCCACCACCACCAGAGACCGTCGGTCAGCCGCCTTTGACCGCCGGAGACTGCTAGTCTCCGACGTTGAATTTATTTTTTTCTAAAAAAAATTTCCATCCGGTCAACCGCAGTTGACCGTCGAGTCTCCAGCGTTGACTTTTTTTTTTTCTTAAAAAATATATTTTAATTAATATTATTGTCTTGGCTGCTAAATTACTGTCTCCAGCAGTTATTTAGCTGTCAGAGACAGTAATTTAACTGTTAATTGACATTTTTTTTCTTAATTTTTTTAATTAATATTACTATCTTGGCTGTTAAATTACTGTCTCCAGCAGTTATTTAAATGTCGGAGACAATAATTTAACTTTTGATTGACTTTTTTTTAATAAATATTTTAATTAATATTATTGTCTTCGCTGCTAAATTACTGTACCCATCAGCTATTTAACTGTTAATTGACTTTTTTTTTTTCTTTTTTTTTTGAAATTTTGTTTTTTCTTAAAAAAAAATATTTTAATTAATATTAATGTCTTGGCTGCTAAATTACTGTCTCCAACAATAATTTAACTGTTTAAGATAGTAATATTACTGTATTAATTAATTTTATCGTTTTGGCATGTATTATTGCTGTATTCGACTGTAATATTACTGTCTCCGACCGTAATATTACTGTCTCATGCAATAATATTACTGTTTGGGAGACAGTAATATTAGTAATATTATTGTTCGGGAACATAATATTCATAAGAGTTAACTGCAAAAAATCCCCTAAACTTCAGACGTTTTTGCACTTTACCCCCTGAACGGAAAAAAGTTACACGAGCATACCTGAACTTACTATATTGTAGCACCGGCGTTGAAATTAACTATTTTTAGCCAAATTATTCCCTGAAATGCACACGTTCAACTCACACGTGCAAATAAAGGGGCGATTTCGCCACCTCACAAGGTTTTTGAAAGAAAAAAAAAATGAAAAAAGAAAAAAGGAAAAAGAAGAAAAACAAAATAGAGGAAATTGCCTGCATCTTCTTCCTTAATCCCTCTTGGGAACCGAACATGGGAGAGAGGTTTTCACCGGGATAATTACACGTTCGGTCCCTCATGTTTAGTCCGATTTCACTTTTTGTCCCCCTTGTTCCAAAGTGAACAAAGTTCACCTCAAAGTTTAAATTTTAAACACTTCTGGTCCCCGCCGTTATATATCCATTAGCAAGTAACGGAAAGCACTATTTTGGGGCGAAAATTAAAATTCTAAATTGTTTTGGGTCTGAAAAATAATTAGAAATTTAAAATAAACTACTTATAAATAAATCTTTAATAATATTAAGCATAATGAAATTTATTTAGTTCATTTATTTTTTTATTATTAAAAAAATAATCATAAGTAGTATAATTAAAACTAATATTTAGTATAATTCATATTAATATATTTAATTCATTTCTTTTTTTTATTATTAAAAATCTAATTATAAGTAGTATAATTATAATAATATTAAGTATAATTATAAACAATTTGTTTAGCTAATTTTTTTTATTATTTTTTTATTATAAGTAGTATAATTAAAAATAATATTAAGTATAATTAAAAATAACTTTTCTAGGTTAATTTATTTTTGTATTCTTAAAAAAATAATATAAGTAGTATACTTTTAATAATATTAAGTATAATTAAAAATAATTTGTTTAGCTAATTTATTTATTTTTGTATTAATTTTTTTTTTATCATAAGTAGTATAATTAAAAATAATATTAAGTATGATTAAAAATAAGTTGTTTAGTTAATTTTTTTATTATTAAAAATTTAATTATAAGTAGTATAATTATAATAATATTAGGTATCATAAAAAATAATTTGTTTCTTTAATTTTTTTTAATTATTATTAAAAATTATAAGTAGTCTATTGTAAATTTATAATTATTTTTCAGCCCCAAAAAAATTTAAAATTTCAATTTTCACCCCCAAAATAGTGTTTTCCGTTACTTGCTAACGGACATATAACGGCGGGGGACCAAAAGTGTTTAAAATTGAAACTTTGAGGTGAACTTTGTTCACTTTGGAACAAGGGGGACCAAAAGTGAAATCGAGCCAAACATGAGGGACCAAAAGTGTAGTTATCCCGGTTTTCACCTCTAATAAATCATTAAAAAAAAAAAAAATTCAGACACCACCACCACCACCTCTGTTCCGCCGCTCCACCACCACCACCACCACCACAACCGCAACACCAATTTCATTCCTTGACAAGAGGCTAAATAGTAGTATGAGGAAAAGACCAATTTGTCCCAGCTCAAAACATGTGCTTCTCACGTGTTGTGGATTCCGGTCACTTTTTGCTCAAAATGGAAAATTTTCGTTATGATGCTACAAATTAGTAAGTTCAGGTATGCTCGTGCAACTTTTTTTCGTTCAGGGGGTAAAGTGCAAAAACGTTCAAAGTTTAGGGGATTATTTGCAGTTAACCCTATTCATAATATTACTATCGCAAACAGTAGTATTACTGTCCCAAACAGTAATATTACTGTCTGCGACAGTAATTTAGCAGCCAATACAGTAATATTAATTAAAATATTATTTTCTAAGAAAAAAAATTCAAAAAGAAAAGGAAAAACAAAAAAAGTCAACGCTGGTTGACCGGCCGGAAAAAAATTTCAGAAAAAAAAAGTTTTCAAAAAAAAAAGTTAACACCGGAATCTGGTCGGAAAAAAAAAATTCAGAAAAAAAAAATTCAAAAAATTATTGAAATGACGGTTAATATGATATATTTATTTAAATCTGGGGTCAATGTATAATATAAGAAAGTTAGAGTATAATGGATGGGTGGTATTTTAGATCAAAGACATGGGGATGAGTTTATTTAAAAGACTATTTTTTTTTCGACGAATTTGCATTTAAGTGACTTATCATGTTTTTTTTGCAATTTGCCATTTATGCAACCCAAGATATAGTTTTCACAAAGTGGAGATACAACTACAAAATATATACAGTAGAATATACAACTATTAAATTCTAAACTGCTCTCAAGTGGAGATCAGTTATTTTATTTTATTAACTTAAATTTTCAAATATTACCAGATAAATTACGGCCATCCCTTGGAATAATATTAAATTACGAACAAACCCCTCTTGTTTGGGTAATTACAATTATTCATCAACTATGAATTTTCTTACACGCCTACCCTCATGGTGTCAAATTCAACATAATCTTCCAAATTTCGTGGAATGTTCTCTAGTTTATATCCGTTTTGTGTAAAAATGCAGTTTCTGATGTACCAAAATCTAATATTTACTAGCCAAGAGACACATTTTATGATCATCTTATTTTCAAAGAGTGGACTTCGAATGGGGTAAAACATGTACAAATCGGAGAATATTCCACATAATTTAGAAGATTCCACTAAATTTGACACCGTAAGGGCGGACGCAAGGAAGATTCATAGTTAAAGGGTAGTTGTAATTACTAAACAAGATGGGGTTTTCCGTAATTTGACCTTACCTCGGACTGGCCGTAATTTACCCTTAATTTTCTTTTTTTTACTTGATAAAACTGAAATTGCAAAAAATCCATAGTCAAATGTGCCAAGACTTAAAATGTAATCTAATATCAAAACTGGCGAAAGTATGTGTAGTTTTCCAAACTGTAGGGGTCTACCGATAATTATACTTAACTTCAGGATGGGTAGGTGCAATTTATTTATTAGATTAATTAGTAGAAAGATCAAAAGGCGCGTTTTATTTTCTGATTTGAATTGATGGATATTTATATATAGTTGTGATAAGCATAGGCCGCCACGTGTAGTGCGTTTAGTATGAACAAGTAATAGAGAGAGGCAGGCAATCTTTTGAGGGAATATATATATAATAATATAAGCATCAATCAGCCACTTGGCTACACAATAGCTCCTCTTTACCCCCTCTCTCTCTCTCTCTCTCTCTCTCTCTACCCCTTCGCCATACCAACTTTTAGAGAGCGGCAGAAAATGAAATTCTCCGTGAAGAGGGGTAATGGAAGCTTGAATCCTCTATCCAAAGGGGATGACGTGTGGGGGTGGGTGAAGATGCGATTTTTTTAGGGTTTTTTAATTTTATTTTTCCAAATTTTGCAAGCGGAAAGGGTTTTGATGCATATGCAGAGAGAAAGCTTCAAACTTGGATTTGATGTAAGCTTATTAACTAATTCGACGCTCCTTTATTTTTAATTCTTGTGTGATGTTCTATTTTCTCTTCGTTTTTAACCTGCTCGATAAATTTATATCTCTGTGTATGACTGTGTGTGTGTGTGTGTGTGTGTGTGTGTGTGTGTGTGTGTGTGTGTGTGTGTGTGTGTGTGAATAAGTCTGAATTCGTGTACAGATCATATTTTACTTGACTTGACGAAAGTCTGAATCCGAGATCCATGTATGTACTACATATATATGCGTTTATGTATATATACATAATATATAAGGCTGTAAATTGGCAGGATATGTACTTTGTTCTTCCTTTGGCTCTCAAGGTGTGTTTTATTTATTTAGACATGGTGGAGACTCTAGTTTTAACAAGCTTGCAAAACAGAAATAGTATTGAATTATATATCAAATATGTTCTCGTTTCAACAACTTCGATTCGAAGCGCATTTTGCATCTCATGCATGTGATAGAGATATCTAAAATCGTAAAGTGGGAAATCCACATATATTATACTTCATATATGGGTTCAAAAAACGGTTAGGCGTATCTATAGAGTCATAAGAGATAATGAAGTAAGCATTTAAGATTGATATTCCACCCACGTGAATTGTTTTTTTTTTTTTTTTGTTTGTTACAGTAATGTGTTAAAATCGGTGTTCGATTAGATGCTAGCTAGAATATAAAGACGAGGTAAAGTGAAGCAATGTGTTTCCAATGGTTGTTTGATGCTATTTTTGAGTACTTTGGATTTTGGAAACAAGTTCGAAAGGTACGTTTCTTTGTCTCTTACAAATTTTAATATCTTAAGTCCCTTTGCTCAACAAAAAAATTCAAGAAAATAATAGAACCACTTTAAAGGTGATTCAAAAAATTGAGTAACAAGAAGAATCACTTTGTCTTTTAGGGGTGGACCTTCATCGGGACTTATCGAAATCCATTTTATGAGTTTTATCTTATTTTAAGGTGCATTTTTTTATTCGAGACTTTAACATACTGCTCTGGCTCCCCAATATCTAAGTAAATAATAGAAAAGTGATTTACAAAATGTCTAATCAAAAGCACGTATGCTGAAATATATCTATTTAAAGGTGCATTAGTATATGAATAATATTGGTACAAATGCGGTTTAATACATGAATCAAGATTTAAATCGAGCTAAAATCAAATTGTCGACTATGGTACGAGACAAGGAGAACTTTTTTAACTATTGTTATTTTCGTTTGATATCTTTTTCTTCCTTCTTTCTGCACTATCATGTTTTTGTGGGCACATTTCATGTTCGTCTAGACTCGCATCTATGAAATACAACATGCCATGCAATAAAGAAAATGATGAAGTGTAGAATTGATTACTGTACTTGGTAGAATTAAACGTTTAGTACGCTCTAAGTTCACATTTTAGTCTAAAGTGATAATTTTCGAAGTGCCCATTCATGCATACGAATCATGTTTTTGGTATTGTTGCTATGTGCCTCTACGAATACAAAGTTTCGATATATAATCTCTATTTTGAGATCTCACTGTGCCTAGAATTTTTGTCTAAATGAGCAGGGGAAGCTCGTTTTCTCTCGACTCTTTTTATGTGGAAGGCCAAATCTAGTCTTGCTCCAAAACACGTAGCATGAAGCACAATGTTTCTAAATGCAGGGCCGACTAAATATCTCTCTCTTTCTTGCTCTCTTCTACACGAAAACAACATTTCGAATAATATTGAATTTTTTTAGACTCGTGTAGGATTTTGAGTGGAACTTGTGTGTACTGAAATGTCGAATGCAGGTATTAGCTGCTAGTTATGATGCATAAATCATTCGCAAGTCAATTTTTCTATGCAGCTAAATCAATTATAGATCAAGAAACTATATGTGGTCCACTGGCTAAGATGGCGTTAAGACAGCGAAAGATTATTTATATTAGGCTGATAATATCCGAATAGGAAGAAGAGAGTCAACTTGTTTATGTTTCTTTCCTTAAAACATATATAGGTTTCCTTCACCATCTTTGAAACATCAACTTGGTACGTTTAAAAGTAAGTAGGGAAAATATGCATTCATCGTCTAGTTTCTTTTCTTTCTCTGTAATGTGAGTCGACGTCAACAACTAAAGGAAGCCTATTTTTTTTCAGGTGACAATTATTCGACCACGTTTGCAGCTATAGTTTTGTTTTGTATGCAATGATAAAAGTGGCGTGGGCTAAAGCAAATCATATATCCCCTTTTATGTTCCACCGTTAAAAACAGAGCAATATTTAACAAAAGTTCAAATACAGAAGAGGGGTCAAGCAGCTTACACCATGCAACAAGGGCCTCGCTCACAATAAAGAGGTAGATATTCTTCTAGCACCTTTTATTTATACCTGCATGCATTTTTATGATTCTGCAGATAATTTATTTTTATTTTACATATAAAAGTTTGAACGAGGTCCGGTGTTGTATGCTTGTATTTGTTGTTTAGCCGTCTGCGGCTATGTTGAGATCTATCACCACCTTCTTTTTCTTAGCACTGTTATTGCCTTCAACAATCTGTAATATGTAAACAAATGTGTGTAATAAAGTCATGTTTGTGATAAACGGATCTAGTAATCATAATTTATATATATGCAGGGTTTCAACTTTAATAACCTCGTTGAAATGCTTTTTTTCTTCTTCCAGCATCTTTTCCTGCTCACATAATATAAGCTGTTGTAAGCATTTACCTTATTTAACATGAACCAATTATCCTGAAGGCAAAAATTAGACTTGCGCACCTTTTCCTGAAGGCTTGACTGAGCATCCGTCATCAATTTTGTCTGCATGGAGTAATAAATTCTGACATCACAATGTTTTATGAATGGAAAGGCAATAATACTATGTATTCTGAAACGTAACTTTAATATGTTTTTACAGGTTGACAAGAAACTGGCAAAGAATACTAATGTTCAAGCGGTTCGAACATTCTTGCCACGTAAGCTCAGCTCATCAAAAAGGTAAACAAAAACTATGATATGAATTTAACTTCTCTAGTTCATGAAATGGCTTTGATATACCACACTGCACACGCACATTCATAGCTGGCACTTGAACAAACTTTTATGAGATAAAAGCTAATAAAAAAAAAAGGTTTAAGACAAATGTATCATGCCTTTTGCTTGGTCCCCAAAAAAAAAACATAGGCAATCGAACAAAAACATTATTAGCAGACGAATTGCTGGTCTGAATGAGGCATGATGAATTTTCTCTTAGCAAAATACTCGTCTAGATGCACTTTGTATATTTAGGGGCACATTTGTTTTCTACAGTTCATTGAGTAAACCAATTTAGGGACTGATGGAGAGTGAACATGAAACCTTAGTCGAGCGTATCTCCATTAATGCAGTCTCAAGTTGTTTCTGGATGAGCCCAAGGTCCGCCACACTTAGCTGCTCAACACGTGGCTCCTTAAGTTCACTATGGAGAAAGAAATATAACTTGTGAGTAAACAACCCCAAAAGCGTTGCAACAAAAACAAAATTAAATTATTCAGAAATCGGGAGTTACCTTCCAACAGTTTTGAGAAGCTCACTATATGTAAGATAATCACCGTTTCTGGAGTACAGATCCTGCCAATCAATCAAATCACCTTGTGAAATGAATGCCCTTATATGTGTATATATTGAAGAACTTCTTCTTTATTAAAACTATGTTCCCATCTCTTATAAAGAGAGTCGGCTTATTCTATAATATTATTATAGTTCTGGCATTTCTAATTCGGGCATTTCTATAATATTTCGTCTGACCAACCATGTTTTTTTCTATTTTAACATGGTGTCGAGTGTATCCAGAGAGAGTTGGAACATTTTGAAAATAATCTCAAAACCTAATTTGAAACCATAATTTCTGACTAGTCCTCTTCGTTTTGTGTCACTCTTGGTGTTGTCTTTTATGCTGTTAATCTTGTTATTACTACTCTTATTGTTGTCTTTCGTCTTCTTTTGTTACACTGCTATCAATTCTGCTACTCGTGCGAACCGTACGTAGCTAATGAAGAAATTGTTGTAGTCATGAACTAATAATATCTACTTATTCATAGACTCTAAGCTCGAGGGGAGTGTTACGTAACTTAAGCAGTTCCAACTTGAGGTGAGCATATATATATTATAGAAGTATTGGAATTATATAAATGGATGTTGGTGGTTGACTAAAATCAACTAGGTAGGTTGACTAATTTATCGTTACGTGTTAGAAAATTAACAGAAATTAACAGATCACAAATCGGGAAAGAGAGCGAGCTAATGGCAAGAGATTCAAAACCATCTACCAAAAGTATCATGAGCTCTAACATAAAATCTTCTCTCATGACCAGATTTTGTAGGCATATATCATTTAACTAGTTGATTTTGGAAAATGAACACTAGATCTAGAGCAAGGGTGAACGGGAGCGAGAGAACAAAGAGTGACAGAGAGCTATAGATCGAGATGAAGCATATATTAAAATCGACCAAATTAAAAAGAAAAATGAAAAGTAATTACAAATGAAAAATTAAACTTAGGAATTGATTTAAAGTTAACTATAAAAGAGTGACATTCGGATGGAAGGAATTGATTTAGGAATTTTATATCCGTAACTATCATTTTAGAGCAATTGTGGGGGATTTCAAATCTCTTTATGTGGACTTGTTTTAAATCCCCGAGTCCCAAAGTGTCTAAGGATCCATTTGGATGGAAGGATTTGATTTGGGGAAGAGATTTGAAATGACTATGATTTGTAGTCATTTGAAATCAACACGAGTGACCCAATTTATTACTAAAAAGGAGTGTGGATTTGAAATACTTCATCAGGTCTCTCAATCCAAACAAGTGTAAGAAATTTGTTATTATGGATTTGAAACCCCTCCTCCAAATCCTACCATCCAAACGGAGCTTAGAGACTTTACTTCAAACAAAAAAGTTACCTTCTTACTTTAGTTCAAAGTAATGAATCACGGCCGTTTGACGTAGATTTATTAGGCCTCAAATATCACACGAGACCGATGACTACATAAAATTCCAAACACCACATTTCTCACAAGAATAAATATCATCAATCGAACTCATGTATTTATTAATATCACCAATCATGTAGTTATATAACAGTCGTGAAAGATTACGAAATTATCTTCCCTAATTGATAAGTGAATATATTTCAAATTTCAGTAATGATCCCCATTTTGACAGTATAAATCTCGAGTAACCATCTTTTTCTTTTTTGTTTTCTTTTTCTTCCAAAATCCATTGTTGGAGGCGTGAATCTTACCTCTGTATCGCAACCATCTTTCTCACTCTCGACTCGACGTTGATATTGTTGCAGGACCTGCGCCATGCTGTTTAATAACAACAACATACAAAAACAAAATAATATTGAGCTACAACCAAAAGAAGAATAAGAATGCAATTGGAATAAAGCTAAGGCCATAAGAAATGCAATGATCTTTCACTACGAAACAAAATCATATGTACTTTAATCAAACATGGAATATTGGAAAGTAGAAAAGGACACCATCATAAATTGTCTAGAGTTTGTAGTACATTCAGTCCTTACAAACGTACAATATGTTTTTGATCTTACATCTCTAGTACGTAGAATATATCTGTTCTTTTTTCGATTAAAAAATAAAATAAAATTATATCTTGCTCGTGTATATGGAACTCTGAAAATGTGACCAATCAACCAGTAAGCAACATGAACTTAAGCTCGAATATTATTTGAACTCGTGTCTTAATCAAAAAGTGAGGTTTGTCATACTTTTTTTTACATATGAAATAATGTTAGAATAGGCGTAAGAGAACAAGAAAAATCGACATCAAGGTTCAAATATAAGGGCATGATAAGTCACGATCAAAAGAGGACTTGCCATTTACGAGTAAGAACTTATAGCCAATGTTAACTTGCAAGATCGAGTACATGAAGATTGCGTAAAGGGTCTTGAAATTACCCGTCCGAGACCATTTAATTCCTTATTTGGGGTTTTTTTTCTCATTCTTTTTTCAAACTTAGTTTTGTAACGAGAAATCGATAGTTACCTAATTTTGATTATTAGAGTCAAAATTTTAAATGTAATCATCAGAATTAAAAGAAAGTTCAGTCGGAGGAGCAAAACTTGATAAAATCCACAAAGTGCGCTAAAAGATTTATCTTCTAAGAATTATCATAATAATTTCAAATGCTCCTTTATTTATTTATTTTGAAATTATACTTTACATGGTAAAAAGAATAAAATAGTATTCTTATTATCTGAATAATAAATAAATTATATTTGTTGAATAACAATAATTTCTTACAAATAATAATATTATTATAAAATAATTTATGAAACGTTATACAAAGATGGAAAGTTATATGTGATTCAACAAAGCTTGTCATATGCACGAGGATAACTCGTGACAATATATAAGATGGCTCTCAAAGAACATAACTATTAACAAATACTAATACGAAACAATTTTTTTCCGGAAGGATATTGTGAAACAGATATGGAGTATGAATTATATTCAATGATTGAATGACAAACACTAATGTTGTGTAGGGGTGTGCACGGGTCGATACGGCTCAGTTTTTGCAATAAATCAAACACGTACCGATAATATAGGTTTTTCATGTTTTAAGAACCGAACATGTCGGTTTTTTTCGATTCGGTGTTAATTGATTGTTCGGTTCTCACTTGACGGTTTCGGTATCAATTCGGTTTATTTTCGGTTTCGTTTTTCGTCTATCGGTTCGGCATAAAAGCGATATTTGATTAACAAACTTTGGACTTTCATTACATTGGTTGAGAAAATTAACAAATAACAACGCAAAATTAACTAATAAAAAACACGTCACAAGGAGGCATTCGAAGAATAGAGGCGCGATACGATACGGGAAGACAATAAATATTTATACTTACTATATATCAAAACGACGTCATTTTGTATAAATCGGTTCGGTTCGGTGATTTTTTTATTTTCAATACACAAACTGATATTTTCGGTTTTTCAAAAAAAAATTACTGTATATGCGGTTTTAAGTCAAGACGGTGCATATTGGTTCGGTTTTTTCTGTTTTCAATTTCTCGATTTTTCATCCCTAATGTTGTGTGCCTTTAAAAACACGCGTTTTTTGAAAAAAAAAATACATCATTATGTATTATTATTATTATTATAGGAAAAAAAATTGAGAACCTAAGAGCAACTTCAGTGGCGAGAGAGATATCAAATTGAAGTATCAAACACTTAATTGATGCTAAATGTAATACTTTGACATTTTTTCAAAAAAATTATATGTGCTCCTTCCTCATAGTTATCAAATAAATTATTATCTCTTTATATTTGTAATATGTTGAGATTTCTTTATTTTTATTAAAAAAATTCATGTTAAAATTGCAGGAGCTTCTAAGGAATATTTGAATCCTCTCCTTTGGGTCTGGGTGCAATTTTGTACCTCAAATTCCTTCACCCTAGGAGTACTTTTGAATTTTCAAGTACATAAATAGTAATTTTATTATTCGATCCCCTTATTAATTCCTCTTTATTGGAGTTGCTCTAAAAGATCGTAAACTGGTTACTGAAATATCTCAAAAAAATCTATTTTAGGAATATGAGAACTAGGGTTTTGAAATTCCCACCAACCAACAATTTCAACTATATGTATGTAAACAAAAACAGAATTTAAGAAGGAAAAAAAAAAGAAAAAGATTAGGTGGTGTTAATTACCTATCGGCGCTACAATACTGGTAAAGTTTTCCCCTCTTGGAGAAGATAATGGCGGCCACGTCGACATCGCAAAGAACAGATAACTCCCTTGCTTTCTTAATCAGACCATTTCTTCTCTTCGAAAAACAAACCATCCGAGCGCTGTTCTCCTCAATTCGCTTGATCTCCAGCTTCTTTCTCCCCATTTTCTCGGTAAACAAACGGTAATATCTCTTTCTCTCTCTCTCCCTTTTCTTTGTTATTTTCTAGAGAGAGAAAATAAAACAAACTTTTGTAATTATTCTGTGGATAAAAAAGGAGCCGCCTTTCATCACCAGCAGATTCTTGTTTCTCACACAGTGTGTGTGTGTGTGTGTGTTCACTTATTAGAGGAGAAGGGGTAATCTACTTTGCTGTGACTTTCATCTTTCATTTCTACTTTAATTTGCTGTGACTTTCAAAACAAAAAATAAATAAATAATAATAATAATAATGATATATATGTGCGATTACTAACGTGTGTGTATTAAATAAAGTAATATAAAATATGATAAAAAGTAAAAATAAAAGGAGTGTACACGTGGCGACACAGGGTGGTATGGTACATTGAATGTTACCAAGAACGCGAGTGTGTGGCCGCTTTTTTTAATTCTTAACCAAAACAAGGAAAAACGTTTTATTACCAGAACTAAAAGCGTGTTTTACCATACGGAATATGTCTTTATTTTTCTTTTTTAATCCTACATCAATCTAAATATTAAAAGGGTGTGAATTTGGGATGGACTCCCCATTAATAGATGAAAAACGGATGCCACTTATTTAATGACATGTGGAAAATTAAATTAAATATTAGTTAATAATCTTGATGGGACCCATTTAAAATTAAAATCCATTGGCGAACGTAGTGAATTGTATATTTTCTCTTTGTTTGTGTCTTATTTTTTTTTGAGATAAAAATTTAATTTCCTTAGATTATCAATTACCAAAAATTTTAAATATTCTTTTATTTAATTGTTTTGAAAATAATTTTTTTATTTAAATCGAAATATTCAAGTGTGAGTCTCCTGCTGTCACGTGTCTTTTTTTGTATTTTTCCAAAACCCCTAAAGGTTAACCCAAATGGGAAAATATATAATAAGTAATTAAATATTACACGTGACAGCAAAAGATTCACCGGCCAGTATTTATCACTGGGTGTATGGTGAAAGAACCATGGTTGTACACAATAAAAATATTTTATTAAGAATTATGCTAATTAAAAATAAATAATGCAAACTAAGATGTGAAGCATGACAAATGTCAACAAATTTTAAATTAACAGAGAGATAAGAAAAATAAAATACAAATAGGATAAGTATTTCTAATTTAAAAAAAAAAAAAGGTTTGAAATGTAGCGAGAGAATGATAGTGCAATACTTAACTCTTTTGTACAGGTGTCATTCAATTAATGGACTCCGTTTATCACCTATTAACGGAGAGTCCGTTTATAATTTAATCTCATATTAAAAATACTATGTCTTGTTTGCTTGCTACTATTAGGTGAAATTAACTAGTGCGTAGAAGCTACTCAGATGTTTGATTTGTAAGATTCAACAGTACTCAAGTCTGCTATTGAAGTTGAAGCCCACAATTCCTCATACAATTAATTTAGTAAGAGGCGACTAAATCGGAAAATTACAATTTTATTCTTAAATCAATAACTTAATTTTGTTAAATGAAAGTTTGTTTAGACAATTCACATATGACAACATGATGTAATAAATTTAATACAATATATAATATAATGAACCAAACATATTAGTAACTAATTAATTAGTTAATCAGTGAGGAATAATCCAATCTAGTCCGATATAGGCAAGCAAACGAGGCCTAAAATTATTGCGTGTCTATCATAGGGTCCTCCCAAGACTTGACTTTCTATTACTATCTCCATTCTTTATTAATTGTCTTTTTTTTTAATCTTTGCATAAGTATTAAAAATCTCGATAAATGTGTCTTGATTTTAGGAGAAATATATTAAAAAAAATAAAATAATCTCGATCATTTTATAATGTGATAAGAGAGAAAAATTGAATAACTATGGATTTAATGTAGTATTAGAACTCTAAAGTGACAGATAATATGAAATGAAATATTTCTTTAAAGTAAAAGTTATTGTGGAACGAAGTGAATAATTGGTATCGCAACGATTCGTATACGTTTGTATTAGATTTACTTCATGTTATTAAATATTTCTTTGAAATTTGGTATCTTATTAAATAAGTAAAAAGATAAATATAGCTACGTTAAAATTAAAAATATATTAATAACTCTATTTTTTTTTCCGTTAAAATAGGAGTGTGTAACCTCTACATTACAAATATATAGTGATGAGTTTGGTTGGGCAACCGTACCAAAACTCTTGAATCAATATTGTTATTGAATTTTCGGTAGAATGAAATTCATTACCGTTGTCCTACCAAAAAATTAAGGTATACCAAAATTTATGTATGTCTAGGTATGGTAATTAATTACCAATTTATGTTCTTTTTTTTTTTTTTTTGAGGGAACCAATTTATGTTCTCTACTATTTGAATCAAAATTGAATATCATTTTTTTCATAGCAATTCAAGGCATATATTTGTTTAAAATGCTCATAACTAGTATTCGAGATATAAGTGCTCTAAATATATGTTCTTAACTTACCTATTATAAAATATTCTTAAATAAAAGGCTTAATTCCACTTTGCACCCTTGAAATATACCATTTTGACACTTTGCACCCTCGAAAAATAATAATAGCACTTTGCACCCTCAAAACACAATAAATCATTCACAATGCACCCTCAATTGAATAATAAAGGCAATATTATTTTTCATTGGTGTTTTTCTTTTTGGGGTACAAAATAAAAAAAAATGGTTGTTTTCTTGCAAAATTACACCGGATTATTTAAAAAAAAAACTATATTATCTTACAAAAGAAAAATAAAAAAAAAATAATTTTTTATCACTAAATTATTCGATTGTGGATCTTTTATGTCACTGTTTGTAAAATATTAGGTGAAAATATTTGGAAGAAAAAATATTTTTCAGATAACTTGATAACGTAATAGCTGAATGATTTTTTTTCGTAAAATATTTTATTTTGATAAAACAATATAATTTTTAAATATGTTGATGGAATGTATTTTTATTTTTGAACTTTATAGTTTCAAAATGATTGATGAATAAAAAAATATTTGACATTTGGCATCCTAAAAAAATATCACTACAAATATTAAATTTATATTTTTTAGCTTTAAAAAATCATTTGGGGTGCATTATGCATGATTTATTGTATTTCGAGGGTGCAAAGTGCTATTAATTTATTTCGAGGATGCAAAGTGCCAAAATGGTATATTTCAAGGGTGCAAAGTGGAATTAAGCCTAAATAAAACTATAACATAAAAACTCTTAATATAAATTATAGGGCAAATGGCAAAAAGGCCCATCACATGGGAATTAAATGCATTTTGGTCCACAAAAAAAATAGTCTCTCAATTAAGCTCATCCCCATGCCTTTAGTCTAAAATACGCTCAATAATATAATTCTTATCAATTCCACCCATTATACTCTAACTTCCTTAATATTACACATTGACCCCAAATTTAAACAAATATATCACATTAACCCCCAAAACTTTTTTTTTTCATAAAATAATTTTTTTTCTGAAATGTTTTTTTTTTCCGGCCAGATTCCGGCGTTGACCGCCGGAGACCGCCGTTGACTTTTTTTTTTCCTTATTTTTTTTTTGAAACTTTTTTTGTTCCTGAAATTTTTTCCCGGCCGGTCAACCACCATTGACCGCCGGTCTCCAGCGTTGACTTTTTTTTTTTTTTTAATTGTTTTTCTTAGAAACAAAATATTTTAATTAATATAACTGTCTTGGCTACTAATTTACTGTCTCACACAGTAATATTACTGTTTGGGACAGTAATATTATGAATATTATTTTTCCGAACAGTAATATTATTGTCTAAGACAGTTAAATTACTGTTGGAGACAATAATTTAACATCCAAGGCAGTAATATTAATTAAAATAATTTTTTTTAAGGAAAAAAAAAAAAAGTCAATTAACAGTTAAATTACTGTCTCTGACAGTTAAATAACTGTCGGAGACAGTAATTTAGCAACGAATACAGTAATATTAATTAAAAATATTTTTTTTAAGAATAAAAAATTCAATTAACAGTTAAATTACTGTCTCCGACAGTTAAATAACTGCCGGAGACAGTAATTTAGCAACGAATACAGTAATATTAATTAAAATATTTTTGAAGAAAAAAAAACAAAAAACAAAAGAGTCAATTAACAGTTAAATTACTGTGTCCGACAGTTAAATAACTGCTGGAGACAGTAATTTAGCAGCCAAGACAGTAATATTAATTAAAATATTTTTTTAAGAAAAAACAAAATTATAAAAAAAAAAAAAAAAAAAAAAAGGTCAACGCCGGAGACCCGGCTGTCAACGGGCTGGATTTATTTGAAAGACAAAAAAGTTAGATGTCCCTCTTTTAATTAAGTGCCCTTGTTATTGACCTATTTGCCATTAGCCCTAAATTATATTATCATTAATTGTTATAAATGTTGTATATAGTTTAGAGTTTAATCATTATCCCGCATTGGTTTAGTATTATAGCCTGATCTAAAGTTAGGTTTATATACGTTCTTCCATTCCATTGTATTCTTTTACTCAATACACACAATAATATGAATTATTTAATCAAAGCGATTGTTTTTTGGCATCAGATTTCTAGTTTGAAAACTTTCGGTTGCATGTGCATTAAGCAGATTTATTATTTACAAGAAATCTTTAGTAGAGTTCTTTGCACAGAGAATACTCCATTTGTTCACAGTAGTGGTGCCCTAATAAGTAGACACAATCAAATGGGAATTTTGACACTTGTACACAAGATTCAGGAGCAGTTGTGTGTCGTTAGCGTAACAAGATTGATAGTTGAGGGATGATTGTAATCATGGTTATCAAATCGTGAATTAAAGCGAAAACCGCTTTATCAAAATTGCGAAGCGAAAATCATAACAAGTCATAAATCGTAAGATTTTTAAAATTTCTTCAAAATATTAATATATTAAATATATAACTACAAAAATTACTCCGGTTAACATGTTAATATTTAAAATTTAATAGTAAATGGACTTGATACAAAAAATTAACATGATAAAAACAAAAAGTTATTAAAAAAAATGTGATTTATTATCATTTAATTTAGGGACTATTAGCCATAACCCCCTTTAGTGTTTTTATAATAAAAGTGGATCCGGTCATATTTTCAATATTAGTGGGAAATCCACTATTTTAATGAATCCCGAATATAGCCTTTTGGAAGCCACGGTATTGAAAAAAAGCAAATAACACAAAATCCAGGATTTGAGGTTGATACAATCGTGTCTAATCAGATCCCCAAAATCTCGCATCTCAAATCTTTCCAAAAACTACCACATACAAACCCTAAATCGCATAAACGGCTACATCGTCGACAAAACAATCGACGGGGCAAACCCATTCCTTCCTAACCCATAAACTCCATCACCGGAATGTCTGGAAACAACTACATCGACGACGATAGAAAGGGGAAACAAAAAAAAGTCGACAAGGTACAAAATCAACGAAAATCTTGAAGTTGTACGCACAACCCCGCACCGCCATTAGTTGTTGAGAAAGATGTCTGCAGTAAGTATACCATTTGGAAATAGTTGTGTACATTTACATATTATATTTCATTCTAAAAAAAAGCTAATTTACAATTGTGATTTTTGTTTTTTGTTGCGGTACAGGAGAACGTAGGCGAAATCAATGAACCGCATGCGGCAATCAGATGCCGGTAATTACGTTTGTGATTTATGTAAACAACTTTTTTGTTGTTCCTTTTTGAAAAACCGTTCTTCAATAATTGCTTAGTGAAATAGTTTATTTCGTATGAAAACGGCTATTGTGGTTGAAAATAGTTGATTTTGAATTACAGAATATTAAATATAGTTGAAGATAATTCGTTAGAAAAAGCTAAGCGTGAAATAGTTGAGTTTGAAATAGGCTAATTTGTATGAAAACGGCTATTGTGGTTGAATAGTTCATTTAAAAAACCTGATTATCAAAAAATTATGTCTAAAATAATGTAGTTTGTAAAATAGTGGTTTATGAAATAGCTTATTTTAAAATAGCTTACTTTATAAATTAGTAGTTTATGAAACAACTGACTTTTAGATAAAACTAATTATGAAAATACTGATTTTGGAAGAGGTTATATTTGTATTAGGTTTTTTCTAAATATTTTGTGTTACTAGTTCTTGTGCTGATTTGATTTTCGCTCGTATTGTATAATTTCAGAAAAAAGCTATGGACAAAACAACAAAACATCACAAACTCATACTCGTTTGTCGAAACGAGAAAGTCGTTGCACTTACTGAAGCACCACAACAAAAAGATGATAGTGTTGACTGCGGTGTGGTGGTGGTGTATCTCATAAAAAAGTTTTTCCAGCAACAACCAATCATAAAGGACGAAGCTGAATCAGAAATCCCAGCAATATGAACTGAAATGTGAAAACCTTTCTCGACTGGGGCACAACAAAAAAGACAAATTTGAGCAACAAATTCTTTAGAATCATAAAGTTATGAACTTGGATAGAATGTTTTTTTTTGTTTTTGTATTTTATGTTGACGTATCATTACTTTTTGACCAATTTGTATTTCAGCAAACTGTTTTTGACCAAGTTGTCTTTAATCAATCTGTATCCGTAAGATATTCTTGGTAATAGTTGTTACGACGTAGATTAACTTCCATAGTATGTGGTATCTTTTGATGATAGATGTTCATTTGAGTATAGTTATATGCATTTGTTGTTGTTGAAAGTCTTAAGTATTTGCTGTTAATGATAGGCATAAGTAGCATGTTCAGAATACCGACTATAGATGGAAAAACATCTTTTATTTTGATAATAATTGTTTTTGAATTACATTATTTTGAAAATAGTTGAATGTATCATAATTGATTTGGAAATAGTTCATTAGAAACAGTTGATTGTTTAAAAACTGAGATTGAAATATATTATTTTGGAAATTAGTAGATATGAAGCAACTGATTTATGGAATTAGTTGAATTTAAGGTGAGTAACTGTTGGTAATGTTCGTATTTAAATAGTTGGTTTTATCCAACTATTATATAAATATTGTGCACCGAACATCATAACCTACAAAGAACTATACTAACAGTGTCAACAACAAACTCAAACTTGTAGCAAAGTGAAATGCATATATTGGAATTGTTTACTCGATGTATGAATAAGATTGTTGAGATGGAAAACAGAACAAACTATTTAAATATGATGAGAACAACTATTATTTGCAAAACTGCTATAACAAGCATTGTACAACTTACGTTCATCGTCATTCTTTCCATCAAGTAATATGCCCTTGTGTTTCCCCTTCAAAAAGGTACCATCGAGCATGACAACATGACGACAAAACCTAAACTCCTCTATACATGGCGCAAACAACATACAGTATCAGCTCCACCATTCACCATAACATCCATGCGCACTAACAATAATTCATGCATCAACGCAAACATGGATACCAAGTCTTCATCATCCGTAAGAATGCATTCTCCACAATCTGCAAGCATATATTTCATGGTTATATTAGATGCATTCAGATATTACCACTTCGAACAAGCAAAATCACATAATAACGACTGTAATAATAATGTAATTACGAACTTGTTACTGCAAACACAATCATTCGCATATATAAATGCATAAAACGGCTAAAAAAAATTCTCTATATTACCAACCCAAAATAAAATCGTCCGTGCGTACATAAAAAAACTTCCTCCAATTAGTACGCGATCGAAACACAATACAACTGTTCGCATATATGAATTCAATTACAAACAACTTCATCCAATTAGAAAAAATTTCGCATACATATCAAATCCAATTTAATACATCGATCCTGCATTAAAAAAAATATTGCAAAAAAAAAAAAAAGAAACTCGCCTTGTTGAATCACAGTAGCGTCATTTCTCAGAAACGAATCACATATGAATCTTGATGAATCAATTACAAACAACTTTCTGCAATTAAAAAAAATCCGCATACATGTGAATTCAAATTAAATGCATCGAATCCGCGCTTAAAAAAAGTGGATTGCAAACAAAAAACCAAAAAAAAAAACTCGTCTTCTTTAATTGCAACCGCCGATTCTCTGAACCCAAATCACATATGAATTTCCGTGTGTTACTTGAAACGGTGCGAAAATTAACGCAATGGTAGAGAGGGATGAGACGGTTATGGAATATGCCAATATATCGTGATCTCAAAGATATTTCTACATCACGTTTTAAAAAGAATTAATTACACATGGGTGTATTAGTCATGTCAATTACACAATTAATTAAAAAAAAAATCATGTTTAATATGAATGGGGTTTTTATTAATTATGAAAAATGTGTTATATCCACCCTAATATATGTAAATGATATGGGGGGTTCTTACTAATTACCCCTTTAATTTATAGTATTTGTGAATGGAAGTATTTATTATTAGGGGTCTTTAGCAATAAACCCCTTGGATGAGTAATAAATGGTGATATGTCCAACCCTTAAATCTTTCTTTGTGATAAACCCCTATAAATATTAATTCCAATACTACCCTTCTGAAATTAGAAAATCTCCTACCCAATAATCCACCCCAATAATCCAAATCACTTTCCTTAAATAATGCCAAAATAATAGCAATTTTTTTCCAACTCAATATTCCAATTCTTAAAATCAGCCAACTAATTAAAAAAATAAAAAATCAACTTAATATGCTCCATAAAATAAGCCAACAAATAAAAAAAATTGCTTCTTCACATACAAAAACAAAACCCACGTGCAGATGAAGTTTTTTTTTTTTATTTTTTTAATTATTTTTTATTTTTCATATTTTTTTAATATTTTCTTAAATTCTTTTAAACGAAAAATTGATTTTTTTTCCCCACAAGTTTACTACGCCGAATATGACTATATTTGAATATGACTATAGGCATATTTTCTTAATTTTTTTAAACGAAAAATTGATTTTTTTCCCCCGACAAGTGTACTACGCCGAATATGACTATAGTTGAATAAGACTATAGTCTAATATGACTATATGTGACTATATCAACTGTAGTCATATTCTTTCAATATATTGCACTTTTTTAAATTTTTAACTTCAACATTCCGATTATATAATGCCGTATAGTCATGTTTACCAAATTATATAAAACAACTAAGATTCCCTATTGTTTAGGGAAACAATGTAATCAACATCCACAAAAAAAAAAAAAATCACAAAAAACCACAATTTGAATATTGTTATTACAAGTCAACTTGAAACGAGAATCTAGAACATATTCGAATATGACTACAATCATATTCAACAATAGTCATATTCGAAAAAATACATAAATATGACTATAGTCATATTCGAATATGACTATAGTCATGTTGCTGCTACTGTACATTTTTGAACTGTATTTTCAGATCTGAAAAAAAAAGAGAAATCGAAAGTACATAAATAAAGGTAGAAAATTAACGAAAGAGGGGTGGGGGGGTACGCTCAATTTGTCTAACTACATACATAAATATGACTATAGTCATATTCGAATATGACTATCGTCATGTTGCTGCAACTGTACAGATTTGAAACTCTATTTTCAGATCTGGAGAGAGAGAGAGAGAGAGAGAGAGAGAGAGAGAGAGAGAGAGAGAGAGAGAGAGAGAGAGAGAGATACATAAATAAAGGTAGAAAATTAACGAAAGAAAAAATAACGAGAGAGAGGAATGGGAGTCGACGAGGTCTTCATACACAAAATCACCCTAGCATATCTTCACCCCAAACTAAAAAATAACGAGAGAGAGGGATGGGAGTCGACGAGGTCTTCATACATAAAAATTACAATTTTCAGATCTGAAAAATAAAAAGAAAAAGAAGGAGAAATCAAAAAATACATAAAAAAAAATCACTATATACATATATATATCGACCCCACTAACTCAAGTATGATGATGGGCTCTCTCTCTCTCTTTAATATTTAAACACACACAACAAACACAAAGAGAGAAGAAAAAAACCTTGAAAAAAACATAAAGTAGCAAAAAAAAATCGAATAGTCATATTCGAACCAGACTATAGTCACGTTGATGTTGCTGCATCAGATCTGGAGAGAAAAAAAGAAAAAAAAACGAAAATAACGAAAGGGAGGTGGTGTGATGTGTAGGAGGCGACAACATGAGTTTTTTGGGAGGTTTGACACCGTAGCAAGTCTTGACGGCACAACCCTAGACGGCGGGTGTAGTAGAAGTTGATGTAGTTTAGTCGGGGCAAATCTTCGGTGTACGGCGGGTCGTGGGTTTCGATCTTCCCGTACGATTCGAACGGGCCGATGTAGTGCTTCCCACCGGTCTGCAAGCAGATGTGCTTCAAATTGGGGGAATTAGGGATCACTACATCGAGGACGTTCTTCAGCATTTTGCCGTTGGATTCGCAGTTCTCGACCTTGGTGGATCTGTTCGCCCAGGTGACGTTGAAGACGTGGGTGATGTCGGTGAGCGGCGGCGGTTTATAGATCTGCAAATAAGAGGAAGAAGCCAAAAAAAAAAAAAGAGAGAGAGAGAGCTGCTAAGAAGAAGGAAAAAAAAACTGCTGTTACGGGTAATTATGTCTTATCCTATCTTAATAAGGGGGTCTCACTAATTAAGATTGGGATATGGGTGTGGAAAAAAGTCTAAAAAGTCAAATGGGTTTTTTACATAATATTTTCCATTTTAGGGGGATTCCATATTTCCCCTTATTATCATTAGGTTGAATGAATCGAATTGTACGATTTGAATCGTAAATCGTACGATTTTAATAATGATGGTTGTAATTACGAAACACGAGGTTTTTTTTTCTTTCGTAATTCACCATTTAATTTACTTCTACTTAATATTTGGTGATGTACCTAAACGGGCCGGCCCAATGGGCCCTCAAATTTATCTAATAATTAGGCCCTAATTAGGCCCAACACACGAAAGCCCAAACCCACACAAGTGGGCCCGTTACACGAAAGCCCAAGCTCCTTTAAAGTAAGGCTTGGGCCAACAAAGCAAGCCCAACCCATTCAACGATATATAAATAGATGTTTTACTCATTTGTAAAGGTACGTTCTAATCATTCACAATCAACCTCGAGTTTTATTCTCTCTACTATCTCTACGATCCGTACATCTGACTTGAGCGTCGGAGGGGTTTCCGCCGGATCAACCCCCAGCTTAGTTTACGTGTGCTCATTTTGTAGGGACCTCAGGATCATCGAGTTATCAAGCTATTGATCCGCTTTGCTCTCCCAGCTCATTTTCTACACCCCCTAGGTGAGCTATATTTTAGCATCATCATTTTGGCGCCGTCTGTGGGAACGATACAAACCAGATCACGTAGCCAACAAGATCCTCCTGAGGCGTCAGCTAGGAGAGAAAATGACACGGCTAATAACCTTCCCGTCCGTGGAGGATCTGGCATACCACCTCCTCCACGCGCCGCGGAACCACTTCCCCCACGTGCCGCGGAGCCAGCTCCTCCACGTGTGGCAGATCCACCTCGCGAGGTTCAGGTGATCCCTCATCGGGATCCACCACTCGCCGATCCACCACTCCCTGCTCCTCGAACGGTTCAAATAACCGAGGACGCGCTCCAACGCATGATAGCAGAAGCCTCAACTCGCGCCGCCATGGAGGCTGTAACTCAATATATCGCCACGATGGGAGCAAACGCTCCCAATGCGATACCAGCACCAGCTCCACCTGTAGCGCCACCTGTGGCCCCACCGCCAATCCAGAATCAAATAAGTGTCTCCTCCTCTACGTCGGACCCACGGTCCCGAGTGCAGCTATCTACTAATCACAGAGGAGCACAGCCCAAACAACAACGTCGGCGCTCACCCCTACGGGGGAATGCATCACCACCAAGAATCCCTCTCTTTAATGAGGGAGAAGGCGAAGTAAACAGCCGAATGTCTGGCCAAAACCTTTTCTCCCAACCAAATAATCAAATGGGTGAGAGGATGCCTCTCCCGGCAAGACGCAGTCCCTTCACCATAGACATCCTCAACGAGGTATTACCTCAAGGAGTAAAGATCTCGGGGTTACCTCAATTCGAAGGGACCACCGACCCACAGGAACATATTGAGAAATTCAGTGCCATGGCGGATTTATATGGCCCGACGGATGCTGCGATGTGCAAAATGTTCCGTACCACTCTCTCCAAGAGGGCAATGAATTGGTTCAACTCTCTACCCATAGGGTCGATTGACACCTTCGCTCGACTGTCAACCCGGTTCACCAACCAATTCGCTATCAACAAACAATATGCCAAAACCCCTGCTCATCTCTTCTCAGTAGTACAGAGAGATAACGAAATGCTCCGCAACTACATCAAACGTTTCGTAGAAGCCGTTCATGAAGTCCCCAGTGTGGGGCAAGACATGCTCTCCGGGATTATGCAACATAACTTGAAACCGGGTAGATTCAAGGAATCTATTGCCGGAAGACCCCCAGGCAACTTAGAGGAGTTACTGAATCGAGCCGAAAAATACGTCCGGATAGAGGAAGCCTCTACCCATGCTCCTCCTAAAAAGAAAAGGGAAGATGAACGTCAAGACAATAGGAGGCGCGATGATCGACGTCCACCACTTCCACCTCAAGGCCAACCTTTTCCTCCTACAATAGGTTCACTCCGCTAAACACTCGTCTCACGGAAATCCTTCACGTGATAGAACAGAAAGGTTTAGCAGAGCCTCCACGTCCTATGCAGCCAAACGCAAAGCGAGAAAAGTCGGATCGTTATTGTCAATTCCACAAGGACAGAGGGCATACTACGGAGGAATGTGCACAACTCAAAATGGCGATCGAGAGGCTGATCAAACAAGGCCATTTAGGCGAATACATTGATAAGCCTCGAAATAAGCGCCGTGATGATCCTCCACGTCGAGATAATAATCGAGATCAACAGCAAAGGCGAGAGGATGGGGGTCACCGACGTGACCTAGATAACAATTATAACCAGCCCACCCGGGGAATCATCTCCTTTATCTCCGGAGGACCGGCGGGGGGCGATTCACAAAATGCAAGATGCACACTCGCTCGATCAGCGCGCATGAATCAAGAACGCGCTTCTCCATCCGAACGCATATATCAAATACGAAGACCTGATCCCAGTATAGTCTTCAACTCCTCCGACCTCGAAGGTCCAGATGAAGACCATGTCGATGCATTGGTAGTAACAACAACGGTGGCCAACTTCTTGGTCAAGAAGATATTAGTGGACGGTGGAAGCTCAGCTGACATCATGTACCTCCACGCTTTTAAGCAACTAGGCATAGATAATGCCCGATTTAATCCCGTCTCCACACCCCTGAAAGGATTCACAGGAGAAGGCATTTTATCCATGGGAGAAGTAGAGCTGCCCGTCTCTTTAGGGGAAGACCCTTGTCGAATCACCAAGCTAATCAAATTCCTCATCGTCGACAAGCCATCCCCCTACAACGTCATCTTAGTGAGACCAGCCATCCATACATTTAAGTCCGTACCTTCCTCCTACCATCAGAAGTGGAAATTCCCTACTCCCTATGGAATGGGAGAAATACTTGGAGACAGACGTCTCGCCCGAGAGTGCTATGCAAGGGCCCTACGAGAACCCTCTAAGAAACCTAAACCACCTGGAAGGGGAGACGACACCCAAAAATCCGATAAACGGAAGTGGGTCAATGCGATCCTTGAAGACGATAAAGAGATCCTCATCAGTGTACCAGACGATAGCATCAAGCTAGCAGCTGTCGAAGAACTTAAGCTCATAGAGCTCACCCTTGGAGATGGCTCAAAACTCCTACGCATCGGATCCGATTTAGATCCTGAGATGGAGAAGCAACTAGTCAAATTCTTGCGGCACAATGGAGATGTGTTCGCCTGGAAAGCTCAAGATCTGTCGGGCATTCCCCCTCAGGTAGCCCTACATCGGCTTAACATCGACAAGAGGTTGAAGCCACTCAAACAGAGGAAACGGACATTTGGTCCCGAGCGCAACAAGCATATCAAAGCGGAAGTGGCAAAACTCCTTGAAGCGGGACACATACGACCAGTTCAGTATCCTGAATGGCTGTCGAACGTAGTACTCGTTCCCAAGCCGGGTGGCAAGTGGAGATTATGCGTAGACTTCACTGACCTCAACAAAGCCTGTCCTAAGGACCCATTTCCTCTACCCAGAATCGATCAGCTCATCGATTCGACCTCGGGGTGCGAACTCCTCAGCTTCCTCGATGCATACCAAGGGTATAACCAGATCTTACTTGCACCAGAAGATCAAGAGAGGGCTAGTTTCATCACTGACCAAGGCATCTACTGCTATCAAGTCATGCCCTTCGGGTTAAAAAACGCAGGAGCCACCTACCAGCGTCTAGTGAACAAAATGTTCGCAGATCAGATCGGTAAAAATATGGAGGTGTACATCGACGACATGCTCGTCAAGAGTGTCAAGGTCTCGGACCACCTAACTGATCTGGATCAGTGTTTCGCCACCCTGCGAAAATATAAGATGAAGCTCAACCCCCTCAAATGTTCATTCGGAGTTAGGGGAGGCAAATTTTTGGGTTATATGATTTCGCAGCGAGGAATCGAAGCTAATCCCGCGAAAATCGAAAGCAATCACCTCCATGGCTCCGCCAACATCGATCAA